TGTCCTGACCTCCCAAAGTGCTGGGATTACAGGTGTGAGCCACAGCTCTTGGCCGCAATAAACTCTTAACACTTTATTGCTGTTTTTGAAGTAGCTGAGAATTGAAGAGGCCTTGTAGTTTCTTCTCGATAAATCATTGTCCTCCCTGTTTTTCAAGTGTTTTAAAAATGATCATGAAATAGAGGTAATTTTAGGATTCCATTATGTCCCTTTGGGTCACCCTTTTGTTGGAATTTGCCTTTGGAGCTTTTTCCTTTGACATCTAGCATCCTACGTCCTGGCTGTCACCAGATCGTCTCAGGCAGTGAGCCTTCTCTAGACTTTCCACACCCACCCATCACCCCTGTTCTCTCACCAGCATAGCTAGATTCAGGCTGTGCGACCTATTGTGTGGTATGGGAACAGTAATAATTTATTGTGAGGATTAAAAAATATACTGCACAGAGAATGCCCAGTTTCATGTGCAGAGTACGTTTTTAATAAATGCCAAAATAAACTCTCTTTCTCTCTCCCTCAATCTCTCTCTCTGAATATCTCTTACCTATTTTACCTGCTCTGGTCATATTTCCTCAAGTATCTTCATTTAGCTAAGCAGTTTTTACTACTATTAATTAACTACCGATAATAGAATTTAAAATTGTAGTTCTTTGGGAAATACTGTGAGAATCTATGTGGACTCCAATAACAGGGCTTCAGGTTGACAAAAGAGGTATATTTTGAGCATGCAGACCTTTTCATTTGACTCAAATTCTGCAGAAAGACTGACTTTGAGCATCATGAATTAAACTAAACTATAACACTGAGCAAAGAAAATTAGAATATTTTCATGTCTTGGTTGTTAGAGTACTTGATAAATATAAGGAATTATTAGGCCTTTTGAAATAGCTTTGAAATAACACAGATTTGTGCTGTATCCAAGGATTCTTGACAATGTAACAGAACAACATTGCAGTAAAAGGGGAAAAAGGTGTTGTGTCACTGAATAAAGTCAAAGGTATTTCTTTAAAAATAATTCCCTTGGGAGTGTGGTTGATACCATCACTTCATTTCACGTTCAGCTCCTGTGACAAAGGCTGTCACCTTTGCTCCTCAAGTCCCAAGAGGAAAGTCATTCTTGGTCTCTAAGGACAGGGGGTTTTAGATAAATGCATCTTATTTATGAGCTTCTTCTCCCTTCACTATTATTCTCTATGTGGTCTGAAAACAATACTAATGACTAAGGTAAATCCTGAGTGGTAACAGAAAGTAACAAAACGTAATCGTGCTTTTTTAAAGTTATGCCATTGAGCACATTAGCTTTTTGTGACTTGCGGCGCATAATAGAATTGTTCAGAGGCAAACCTGAGACTTTGTGTTTTGATCTTTTACACTTCCCTTCTATTCCCTAGTTCTTAGAAACGCTAACAAATTATATATTATCGATTATGTTAAAGTGTGTACTGGCAAGTGCAAGTAATACTACACTTGTATTGATCAGCAGCAATGGCTCATAATCTATGTCGGGTATGGCTGGCCCAGTGCAGGCATTGTAACCATGTCATATTATGCATGCAAAACCATGTTCCTTTGGTTTTGATGATATGCGAAGTAGCAGATTGTTTTCTTAGTTCTCATAAGTTGAATTTTCCCCTGAAGACTCATTATGAAAAAGCATGTTAAAAAATGTGGTGTCATTACAAGATTGTTCTCACTTGGCAACAAGCAACAAAAGGAAAAAAAAAAAACATTTCTGACAATTTCTGAAATGCGATCATTAGAAATCACCCTCTGAAATTAATGAGATTCTAGAAAAAGCCAAGCGCTTAAGAGATCATATCATGTATACAACTTGATGAGGGGTTTAAATGGGGACTGATTATTTGCTAAGTGTAGGCAGTGGTTTCCATGATCAGCTACTTTCTCACTACTGCTGCATGATGAAAATGGAGCAGATCCACAATTATAAACATTGAACGGATTACAGAACATTCTGACCTGGAGGAAATTATATGTAATTAAATGAAAAACTAACGCTTTCGTTTTACTTATCTAGGGATAGTCCTCTCTCCTTCTCTGCCTCCCTCCTTCCCTCCCTCCCTCTCCCACCCCTTTCACTCTCTGTCTTTGAGATGAGGAAATATTTTAAAAAACAGCTACAAAGGAGTAAATTCTCCCACCCGAACACTTCAGTCTCCCATTTAGTGTTTCTTGTTTTTCCCCATCTGTTGACTCTCTATCTCCCCCGCTGTTGTGGTCTCCACCTGGCCCGGTGTGAGTTTTCTCCGGCGCGTCGGTCTCCATGGAGACAGACTGCTCCAAGGGCGGCGCCCTGCACAGTTTCTAGCCAGGAGCCTCCCCGGACCTTTCGTGGGTGGGTGCAGCCTGTTTCTGAGCACAGTATAGAAAGGAGGAGGAGTTGCCTCATCTACAGAGGAACAAAAATGTGTTTGGTACCTAAATTCCTCCCTCCCTGTGGTCCTGCAGATGCAGTTGGATAAAACCCTGAGAGGAAAGTTGGGACGCTCTGTGTTTCCTTTGTTTCGGTGTCAGGAGAGCTAAGACAATTGCCAGAAGGACCCCAGGGGGAAGCAGAGTCAGGCACAGAACAGAAGGATAATTAAGCATCTCTCTTACAAACTTACATCAGCAGTCCAACTGTGCATGGGAAAAAGGCTGTTAACTAGAAACCTGGAGAAATATATGGTAACTGGGCACATATTCCACCATAAATTACACAATTATTCTTAATAGAGAAGTATTAAAATCCATAAAAATTTTGTCTGCTAATAACTAGAGCAACTGGGCCATTAAGAAAAACTGTCCAAAAAATTGCTTATTTTACAGAGAAAGCTTACAGGTTTATAGGAAAGCATAAATTCATTGAGAGCCTGTTGTGCTCACACTGTGGACATTCCAGCGTTTTAATTTGTTTCTACGAATGGCAATACTTTCACACAGGCATGATCGGAAAGTTTTATCATTCGATTTTTAGAGCTGAATAAAAACCTCAACTTGCCTATGTGATAGAAGTTTTAATGTTTAGTGAAAAAAATAAGTGAATGTGATAGACGTTGAGCAAATGCCAATTCTTATAATTCCTGGGTATCAAAAATCACTCTGGTATTGGAGACACCAGAATTGACGGCCAAATTCCTTTGTGTTCTAAGCAGAGTTCTGCGGAATGACATTATTAGCTTCTTGGTGTGCACTGATATCTCTGGGCATCTGGCTAAATCCAGCATTCAATTTTTTGTCACTGTCTTGCTGGAATTCACTCTCAATTTGCAGTCATCGTTCTCTGAATTACTGCTTTTAAATTGATCTTTTTTTTTTTTTTTTTTGAAGCTCACATCTCTACCTTCTGGATGTGCAGAAAGAAGTGTCTATAAAACAATAATGACTAGCATGTATGATGTGTGTTACAGTTTGCAGTGCCTCTCTGAACATACCTGATTTCATCTGTGTCTTACAGGAAGGCTGAGAGATAGGAACTGTTATGATAATTGAGGCCCATAGAGATGAAGTTATATGCCCGAGGTCACAAAACTAGTAAGACCCAGTTCTTTTCACTTCAGAGCCTATGCTTCGCTACATGCTCCTTAACAGTTTCTTAATGCTAACCATAGGTGTTCTTTCCTTAAAGAGTCACGAAGACACTAGATTGCAAATCACTAGAGGACAGAAACAAGATTCTATAGTTCTCTTGGAATGGTGCCTCAGTACCGTGGTCACCTGTGTGTTTCTCCTCTGCAGGATACAAAGAATTCCAGCTGTACTTATGTACCACAAGACATGATGATTCCTACGAACTTTCTAGGAATGAAAATGATAAATCTCTTCAATTTCAGCACTACTCCTTTGATATCTATGCAGTGCCTGCCAAAAGCAAATAACCAGAAATAAGTGGCTCTTGGAATCCTAAGACTCTAACCAAGCTGCTTTTCTTTTTGGTTTGGTAGGAGGAGAGCTTGTGTTACTGAGACAGCCCTGTTTGGGCAGGCTGCACAGCTCTGTGGCTAGAATGCTACCCTAGCCTTTTCCATGTGACTCTATAAGTGATCTTGGGCTTGTCATTCCTAGCCCAGGGCTTAATAGTGTCAATGGACAACCAGAAAGCTTGTCCAAACAGCTAGTGACTAATGGGTCTCATTTATCATTTAGTTTTCTGACTGTTAATAATTTAGCAAGTAATAGTTCAATGACTACTGCAGCAAGCATTGTGCTCAGTGTATGTAAAGAACAATAAAACATTGTTCCTGGCATTAAAGACGTCATTGTCCAATACATTTGCCACTCATATGAACTTATAAATCCTGCCACTGATGGATAGATTTGAGACTTTGCAAGAGAGAAGCTGAAACACTGGGAAGGCATTTAACCCTGGTTGTCTAAAATCATGTGAACTGGTGACAAAGCTAGACAAGGGATCTAGTGTGTCCCCAGGCCTGTCTTCCACCACTGGACTGCCTTGTAAAATATGGTTGCATCATCTCAGGATGAAGAGCAATGCTGATTATTGGCTAATTTTGGCTTAGTGAGGCTTGGTTATCAAGTGCACTTCCTGAGACTCCTGTATTTCCTGGTTTAATTGTGGCTGATGACGTACTTGTAACCAAGGCACTCGGCTCAGCCCAAGCACTTCTATCTGGGTACCAGGGTGCCTGCCAAGTAAACAGGCACTTTTCTGTGCTATGTCTGAAAAAAAAAAAAAAAACATGCAAAGAATAGGGCATCATGGCAGATGGGAGGCAGGACTAGATTGCAGCTCCGGACAGAGCAGCATGCGAAGGCTTGCATTGTGAATTTTATCTCCAGATCAACTGCAAGAACAAACCGGCAATCCGGAGAGGACCCAGAGACCCTCTGAAGGAAGCAGACTGCTCCTGCAGGACCTGGGAGACACCCCGAACACTGTGAGTGCCCCAACTGTGGAAGTGGGAAAGGGAGACCCGCGTCTCCCGAACACACACCCCCACTGCAGAAGATGAAGGTCTGTTTGTGGGAGAGGTTTCTGACTTTACCTGGAGCTGGGTCAAGTTGAAGAGCCAAGGCGAGTGAAATACAGCAGTAGAGGAAGCAGCAGACAGGCCCTGGGAGCTCACTGGATCCCCAGGCAGCCCATTCCTGCCTAGCACCACAGGGATTCATCAGGAGGGTGGTCAGAGGAGCCTGAGGTAAAACTCCACAGGGAGAAGGAATTCTGTAGCTGAACTTTGTAACAATTTGAACAAGGCAAGAATCCTCCTTGCCTGAACTCAGGGGAGGGCACCAATCCCGGCTTGCAGAGTCCGCGGGAGCGGGGGCAGGGGCGGGGAGAACCAAAGTCCTTTTCTTTCGCAGCTGGGAGCCAGATAGCCTCAGGCAAGTTTTCAAGCACCTCTCGCCCTCTGCCTGGAAACAGACTGGGGCTGTTGAGGGGGCACAGTGGGAGTGAGACCCGACCTTTAGTTTGCATAGAAGCTAGGTGAGGCCTGTGACTGCGGCTTTCCACCTCTTCCCTGACAACCTGCATGACTCAGCAAAGGTAGCCATAATCCTCCTAGGTACACAACTCTCATGACCTAGGAATCTCTCCTACATCCCCCACAGCAGCTGCAGCAACTCTCAACCAAGGAGAGTGAGCTCAGACATACCTAGCCCCGCCCTCACCTGATGGTCCTTCCCTACCCACCCTGGTAGTGGAAGACAAAGGGCATATAATCTTGGGAGTTCTAGGGTCCTGTCCACCGCAGGTCCCACCCCACATGACTACAGCTGATGCTTTATGGAAAGCGCCACCTCCTGGCAGGAGGCCAACCAGCACAAAAATAGAGCATTAAACCACCAAAGCTAAGGACCCTCATGGAGTCCATTGCACACCCTGCCATCTCCCCCGGAACAGGTGCTGGTATTCAAAGCTAAGAGACCCATAGATGGTTCATATCACAGGACTCTGTGCAGACAACCTCCAATATCAGTCTAGAGCTGGATGGACTCACAGGGTGGCTAGACCCAGAAGAGAGACAACAATTACTGCAATTCAGATCACAGGAGGCCACATCCATAGGAGAAGAGGGAGAGTGCTACATCAATGGAACACCTTGTGGGACAAAAAAATCTGAACAACAGCCTTCAGCCCTAGACCTTCCCTCTGACAGAGCCTACCCAAATGAGAAGGAACCGGAAAATCAACCCTAATAATATGACAAAACAAGGCTTATCAACACTCGCCTCCCCAAATCACACCAGTTCACTAGCAAGGGATCCAAACCTAGAATAAATCCCTGATTTACCCAAAAAAGAATTCAGGAGGTTAGTTATTAAGCTAATCAGGGAGGGACCAAAGAAGGGCAAAGCCCAATTCAAAAAACAAACAGGAAGTGAAGGGAGAAATATTCAAGGAAATAGATAGCTTAAAGGTAAAACAATACAAACATTAGGAAATTTTGAACACACTTTTAGAAATGCAGAATGGTCTGGAAAGTCTCAGCAATAGAATTGAACAAGTAGAAGAAAGAAAAACAGACCTCAAAGACTAGGTCTTCAAATTAACCAATCCAACAAAGATAAAGAACAAAGAATAAGAAAATATGAACAAAGCCTCCAAGAAGTCTGGGATTATGTTAAACAAACAAACCTAAGAATAATCAGTGTTCCTGAGGAAGTAGATGATTCTAAAAGCTTGGAAAACCTATTTGGGGGAATAATCAAGGAAAACTTCCCTGGCCTTGCTAGAGACCTAGACATCCAAATACAAGAAGCACAAAGAACACCTGGGAAATTTATCTCAAAAAGATCTTTGCCTAAGTGCATTATCCAAAGTTAAGATAAAGGAAAGAATCTTAAGAGCTGTGAGACAGAAGTGTCGGGTAATCTATAAAGGAAAACCTGTCAGATTAACAGCAGATTTCTCAGCAGAAACCCTACAAGCTAGAAGGGATTGGGGCCCTATCTTCAGCTTCCTCAAACAAAACAATTATCAGCCAGGAATTTTGTATCCAATGAAACTAAGCATCATCATATACAAAGAAAAGATACAATCAGTTTCAGACAAGCAAATGCTGAGAGAATTCACCATTACCAAGCCACCACTACAAGAACTGCTAAAAGGAGCTCTAAATCTTGAAACAAATCCTGGAAACACATCAAAACAGAATCTCTTTAAAGCATAAATAACACAGGACCTATAAAACAAAAATACAAGTTAAAAAGCAAAACAAAAAAGAGTACACAGGCAACAAAGAGCATAATGAATGCGATGGTACCTCACATTTCAATACTAACATTGAATGTAAATGACCTAAATGCTCCACTGAAAAGATACAGAACTGAAGAATGGGTAAGAACTCACCAACCAACTATCTGCTGCCTTCAGGAGACTCACCTAACACATAAAGACTCACATAAACTTAAAGTAAAGGGGTGGAAAAAGGCATTTCATGCAAATGGGCACCAAAAACAAGCAGGGGAACTATTCTTATATCAGACAAAACAAACTTTAAAGCAACAGCAGTTAAAAGAGACAAAGAGGAACATTATATAATGGTAAGGGGTCTTGTCCAACAAGAAAATATCACAATCCTAAACATATATCTACCTAACACTGGAGGTCCCAAATTTATAAAACGATTACTAATAGACCTAAGAAATGAGATAGACAGCAACACAATAATAGTGGGGACTTCAATACTCCACTGACAGCACTAGAAAGGTCATCAAGAGAGAAAGTCAACAAAGAAACAATGGATTTAAACTATGCCTTGGGACAAATGGACATAACAGATATATACAGAACATTTCATCCAATGACCACAGAATAAACATTCTATTCAACAGTAATGGAAATTTCTTCAAGATAGACCATATGATAGGCCATAAAACAAGCCTCAATAAATTTAAGAAAATTGAAAGTATATCAAGCACTCTTTCAGACCACAGTGGAATAAAACTGGAAATGAACTACAAAAGGAATCTTCAAAACCATGCAAATACATGGAAATTAAATAACCTGCTCTTGAATGAGCATTGGGTCAAAAATGAAATCAAGATGGAAATTAAAAAATTATTCCAACTGAATGACAATAATGACAGAACCTATCAAAAGCTCTGGGATACAGCTAAGGTGGTGATAAGAGGAATGTTCATAGCCCTAAGCGTCTGCATTAAAAAGTCTGAAAGAGCACAAACACACAATCTAAGATCACACATCAAGGAACTAGAGAAACAAGAACAAACAAAATCCAAACCCAGCAGAAGAAAGGAAATAAACAAGATCAGAGCAGAACTAAATGAAATTAAAACAAACAAACAAAAAAATACAAAAGATAAATGAAAGAAAAAGCTCGTTCTTTGAAAACATAAACAAAATTGATAGACCATTAGCAAGATTAACCATGAAAAGAAGACAGAAAATCCAAATAACATCACTGAGAAAAGATAAAGGAGATATAAAGATCATTCAAGGCTACTATGAACACCTTTACACACATAAACTAGAAAAACTAGAAGATACGGATAAATTCCTGGACAACCCTCCTAGCTTAAATCAGGAAGAATTAGATACCCTGAACAGGCCAATAACAAGCAGTGAGATTGAAACAGTAATTAAAAATTACCAGCAAAACAAAGTCCGGGACCAGATGGATTCACAGCAGAATTCTACCAGACATTCAAAGAATTGGTACCAATCCTTTTGACACTATTCCACAAGACAGAGAAAGAAGAAACCTCCATAAGTCATTCTATGAAGCCAGCATCACCCTAATACGAAAACCAGGAAAGCATACTACCAAAAAAGAAAACTACTGACCACTATCATGATGAATATAGATGCTAAAATCCTTAACAAAATACTAGCTAACCAAATCCAACAACATATCCAAAAGATAATCCACCATGATCAAGTGGGTTTTATACCAGGGATGCAGGAATGGTTTAACATATGCAAGTCAACAGATGTGAAACACCACATAAACAGAATGAAAAGAAAAAAATCACATGATCATCTCAATAGATGCAGAAAAAGCATTCGACAGAATCCAGCATCACTTTATGATTAAAACCCTCAGCAAAATTGGCATACAAGGGACATACCTTAATGTAATAAAAGCCATCTATGATAAACCCACAGCCAACATAATACTGATTGGGGAAGAGTTGAAAGAATTCCCTTTGAGAATGAGAACAAGACTAGGATACCCACTGTCACTACTCCTCTTTAACATAATGCTGGAAGTCCTAGACAGAGCAATAAGACAAGAGAAGTAAATATTGGGCATCCAAATCTGTAAAAAGGAAGTCAAAACCCTAAGGACTCCTCCAGAAAGCTCCTAGAACTGATAAAAGAATAAGTTTCCAGATACAAGATTAACGTACACAAATCAGCAGCTCTTCTATATGCCAACAGCGACCAAGTGGGGAATCAAATCAGAAACTCAACACCTTTTACGATAGCTGCCAAAAAAAAAAATGGTTAGGAATATACCTAACAAAGGAGTTGAAAGACTTCTACAAGGAAAACTACAAAACACTGCTGAAAGAAATAATAAACACAAACAAATGGAAACACATCCCATGCTCATGGATGGGTAGAATCAATATTGTGAAAATGACCATACTGCCAAAAGCAATCTACAGATTCAATACAATCTCCATCAAAATAGCACCATCATTCTTCAGAGTTAGAAAAAACAATTCTAAAATTCATATGGACCAAAAAAGAGCCTGCATTCCCGAAGCAAGACGAAGCAAAAAGAACAAATCTGGAGGCATCACACTACCTGATTTCAAACTATACTGTAAGGCTATAGTCACCAAAACAGCATGGTACTTGTATAAAAATAGGCAAATAGACCACATATCTCATATATATGAGAGAGAGAGAGAGATATATCTCATATGTATTATATATGTATATATATGAGTTATATATATCATATGTATTATATATGTATATATGTGATATATATGAGATATATATGATAGAATTCTACTCAGTCATAAAAAGAAATGAATTAACAGCATATGCATTTACCTGGATGAGATTGGAGACTATTATTCTAAGTGAAGTAACTCAAAAATGGAAAACCAAACATTTTGTGTTCTCACTAATATTTTACATTCTCATAGGAACTAAGCTATGAGGATGCAAAGGCATAAGAATTATACAATGGGGCCTGGCATGGTGGCTCACACCTGTAATCCCAACACTTTGGGAGGCCGAGGCAGGTGGATCATGAGGTCGGGAGATTGAGACCATCCTGTCTAACACGGTAAAACCCTGTCTCTACTAAAAATACAAAAAAAAAAAAAAAAAAAAA